ACTGAAAGGAAATACTTACTTTCCGCAGTGTTGCTTTACGAAACATCTAATCTAAAATATATATAAGAACAGTAGAAATAAGGTTCATAATGTTGTAAATTGTGATTTGAGCACAGACTTCTAAATTTTTACTTCTCTAACAATAGATTAAAGAAAAACATTGAATTTCGATGTTAACTACTAAGATTGTAATGACCAAATAGGTCGAAGCAGTAGCTTAACAACAACCGACCTTACAAACCTTTCTTTCAAAATAAATAACTCAATAATCGTCTGTCAAACATACATGCATGCTAAAGCTACTAAGGCGACATAATCGACAAAGATTTACACCTACCATATTGCTTCTGCGATGCGATCGAAACCGTATAATGCGGAGGTCTATCCACACACTATTAACGTCCGATAAACGTTACCATGGCCCCGTGATAAAAGTGACCAGACCAATAATTTATTGGGCATACCAAGCAGAAACTTCGTAAAAATAAACATGAATGGCTGCCTTATTGAGGCTTGATTTAATACACCCAATAAAACAGTAACTAACCTCATATAAATTACTAAACAAATAAATAACATCGTTGGTCATCAAAGTTTATCTCGGACAGCGATTGCATCAACATTTTTAACATTGTTTGTGTTATAACAATTTCTTATTCGATAGCTGTTTGTTATTTAATTAGATTTTACTTTTTTATTGGTTTTTTATTTGGGACATCCTGTGTAGCTAATTAAGGTTCGTAATTTGTATTGTAAGTACCTATTTCGTGTATCATCTGAGTGATATTTATGTTACTTACAATACACATATCATATTACGTTTTAAATTATCAGAAATGGTGAAAACTTACATTCATAACAAGTTAGGCAATTAATTAATTAATTAATGGTTAACAAATTATTATTGGATAAACATTTACTTGTATACTTTTCTCTCTTAATTTAAAAGTACAAACATCAGCTTAGTTCGAGATTCAATATCCATTTTGGTCTTGGACTATGATTGGATACGAAAAGCTGAAGAATAGCGGCATATGTATCAGAGACATTGTAAAACAGACTTTTTAAAAAGAGTAACGAATGGAGCTTTTTCTCGTTCTTTTATTTATTTTATATTTTTTGACGTTTCAAAATACCATTATATGGTTTAATTGAAATAAATGTTTCTGAATTTGAGTTTAATATTAAAAGGCTACCATAGCCTAGCATTACTAAATATTACAATGGCCACCTAGTCCAGTAGTAGACAGAATCAGTAGCCTGTTTCTGTGAATTGGCCGTGAAAATAAACTTAGTTTATTATTATGATGAAACCAAATGCACCACGATAAATTTATTCATATTTATGATATCCAAACATAAATTAAGTATAAAAGCAATACCTATAAATATGAAAATATAAATAACGATGGCTGATTAAATCACGATCAGGAAATAATTTTCTGAAGGCTCTAACATCTAATGAGCACATAGTGAATTCATTACTCTATCTAAGACATTAAGCCAACAGCACTGACGATGGCTAGTTTACATTTTAACAGCCCTTTTAATGAACGTTACCAGCGTTAGACTTTAAGACACTCACCTTATTACTCGAAGCGAGATTTATGTGATAAACCAGCTGAGAGTAGGTTCCTATCCCCGATGTCTAATCATGGCCTGGTCATTAAATTGAAGTTATAATCCTCCTACATAGTAGCGACCATACATAAAGAGCTATAATTCTTTGTTAAGTTCCTTTGTAACTGGCCACGGAGATTGATGAAGCTTCTCCTTAGGTGGCCCACGATAATAAGCTTCCAATAATTTTGTTTCGACTCGTATATAATAATCGATGACTTCTGTTCGTTTCAATTATTGGCTATTATGTCTGTGGTGTTGTTATTGATTGACGAGGTTTTCTTAGCAGATTTGAAGGTGTGTAATGATTTTAATTGGGTGCTAAGACTAAACGAGATTAATGCAATGCAAGATTCTTTTTAACAGGCACTACGTTACCGAATAGACAAGTATTTTGGGCATGAAACGGGATTAATTATAGCCAATCTTAACAGAAATCATAACAAGTGATGAATTTTAATATGAATGAATTTATGCAGAAAAGGAAGAGGATATCAAAAAATCATGGGTGGATTCGAGCAAGAAACGATATTAGAGACATTTTGGGTGTAACCGGTGAAAAGTGATATTACGTACAAAAGATTGTTATAAGACGTAATAGACATAACAGGTTGAATTCAGAGTGTTCACGGGTCGTGACGCGGGCGCCGATAAATAACTTAACTGATCCGTGACCTTTCGTGACGATGGACGACCGAGCGCCCTGCCCACAACCCACTTAACATTATCTTACCTTTGATTTAAACACTATTTTTGCCTACTACTTTTTGTTTGGTGAATCATACCAATCCCTTTAAATATTAACAACTATTTTGTCCTAAAAATTAAAAAAAAATATTATCATGTGTTGTGTCGTAGAGGTATTATACTCAGCCTAGTCAGAACCTCATCTGGTATATTTCTTTTTAAAAAAAGTAGATACCTAAAAAATCTAATTCTGTTAAAACAAAAAGGCACTTTTGAAGATTGGAAATACATGTAATATAACAAGTTATTTTAGTAAACTTATTTATTTGGTCCAAAGTGAAAACTACTGTTGGGAAAATTGAGTTTGAAAATACTTTGTTAACAATGAACATTATTGGATAGTATGCGAAGGAAATCAACTGATATCTAAAACCTGCCAAAAGCAGGTGTCATCACAATAACAAAAGAAAAATCCCGGTCATTACACATAGCATCTCACCTTGCTAATTGTTTCCTTCCATTGCAACCGGCCCAGCAGTTATGGATTTTTAATATATCGGCTATTACGCACTTCCTTCACCAATCATAAAATATGAAAGGAAGGTTTATCTTAGGTGAATTTCATGAACTGATAATTAATAATAATCATATACGAAAATAAATTAAAATCTATATATTTTAACTAATTTTCTTACCATTTTGAACATAAATGTGGTAAGGTTAAACATGATTTTGAAATACTTAATCTTTGATTCAAAATCCAGTATACCTCCTCATCTTCTCTTAAATCTCGAGACTCGTTTACTTAAAAAAATTCGATGTCAGCTTTTTTATTAGATATGTGCTTGATTCCTTGTGGTTTTATAAAAACCAATATTGTCTCCGTATGGTGAGTGTTTCCAGCTATAAAACTAATGTCAAATTAACCACTACCTACCCAATTCTACAACTCAAACAGATTCTCACAAAACCTCATTATCAGAATCAGCCTTAGAACCCATCAATTAATTAACCAACTAAACAACTAGAAAAAATCTTCGACGCCTCACCACTCCAACTAAAAGTGCTTCAAAATGAAATAAAGCACAAAGATTCAAAAATAACAATGCCAAGTACGTACAATCGAGAATCATTAGACATTTTATATGACGTGATGTGAGAAAGGCAAGCCGTATCGTTAATTAAAGGCAGTAATTTGACATGGACTGACAGCTAATATTATGTTGAAATTGATTTGTGTTCAAAGTTGAATTAATTTTGACAGAGTCAATAAGCCACTGCTTTCTTACGATTCAAGTGACTATGTTACTGAGACTTTTTATTTTGTAATGTACCTTTAATAGTAGAGAGTTGGTACATTTCTTATGAAGCTTGATTTGGTCATGTTATGATAGATTTAATGGTTATTGTTGTTATCAATGTGATGCGAAGAGGCATGATACCTTCATGTAATAATTATATTTTTTGATATTCATAACACATAATCAGATCTAAGATCTTTCACAAACTTTTATCTATAGATTTAATAATAATTTAATAATAACTCGATCAACAAAATCCAAATCACACGCGGTCCGCTTACTAGGAGTTCAAACCTAATCAATTTAGTTCGAACTAAAGATCTAATTACAAAGACAGTCATTAGCCAACTAAATTTCACTGTTCACGGCTCTAACAACAAAGTCTATGATTGTTCTTTCAACACGAGTATTTTTTAGGTAGCCTAACCACAATTTAAGTTAAATACATTTGCATATCATTTTTTAGCATCCATCAATCACAGCTCTTCAAACATTCAATGAAATAACAATACCTACACAATTAATTACGCATAAAAGTATTTTACATGCGTTTATTATAATAACTACTTATCAGAGCTTACACAAGAACCCCGAACTTCTATTAACATGCTAACTTCTGGTCGAAGCGATAGTAATTATAAGGAGAGCGAACAAAAACCGATACGTCGTTACACCGACAATAGCTTCAGATAACAAGACAGGAACCTATTTAAAATACTTCTAATCGAATATGGCTTTTATGGTCGTGTTTAACACGATTATTATATTTTAAGAGGGAGTGTATGACTTGCAGTTCGCGGGCATCGAAGCGGGCCGAGGTGTCGACCTGTCGGACAATACCTTCGCGTCCAAACTGATTGATTAATGAAGCACCCGGCGAAAACAGACCGGCTACCTAATTAAATACTCCCGTCGGCAACGATTAATGACATGATGGACTCAACGTTTGACTGACGATTGATTTACTTGCTTCATTTTTATTTAATGTGGGATCTAGTTGAATCCAAGGTTGGTGTTTGTGACCACATTATTCACTGTCACAGGTCACAGGAAATAAATATAAAATATACATTCATAAATACCTACATAAACTCACAACTTAATCCCATACGTGTACTCAGACACTAAAAATCACCGTCTACTGGGAGGTATCGCAATCCTTACATGCAAATATTTGGTGTTTGAAACAAGTGGTTCATTATTAAGTAGTGATTCAAATACAGAGGAGTTTTATATAAAATATATAAAAGTAAGTTACAACTGGCCGTAAATGCAATCTGAAATTGTCTCTGTAACTACATGTTATCTGTCAACAAAATTATTTGTCGTGTTTGTTTGTGTCATGTTTTCATTTCGTTTCTGAAATTTCCAAAAATAGTAAACCGTTTAAAAATGGTTTACTACCACACATCTGGAAACGTTAAAATGCTTAGAAATGTCCTCCTCGATTATGGAGCTACCAGTGAAATATCACCTTATGAATATATGAAAGCATACATAGAAAAATGTCCAGAGGACATCGATGACACCAAACTATCATGGATAGCCGAAACATTTCTGGGATTTAATAGACATAAGCAGTTTTTGACGGATATTGCATCACATTTATCTGAAGAACTCTCAGACGATGACCAAGAATACTTCATGATCATCTTTCATGCTGTCACTTTCCAATGTAAACCAAAAGATATGCACTACCTGTACAAGTGTCTCTTCAACTTAAGTAAGCCTCTTTTAAGTACATTCACGAAATTTTTGAGTAACAATGAAGTACTTACATTTATTTCGCAAGTTGCGCAAGCTAATTATGATACAACATATATAACTGAAAAAATTATTGGGCCATTATTCGAATGGCAGCCTTATATTAGTGATATGGGACACACCTACGCGGAACATGTAAAAAAGATAGAAAGTAGGAAATTAAAACCTCCCACTGTACCTATCCAACCAAATGTTTTAAATCGTAAAGGAAAAGATACAACGCTGCCTCTTGTCCAGTCTGCGATTATGCCAGCTACTCCTCCAAACTCAATGCTTGTGCATAAAAAGAAAAGAATGCTTACAAAATCTGCGATTGATCAAAAATTAAAACAAATTCATGAAAAAAATAAACAAAAAGCTATACACCTTTTAAATGATGTTAAAAATAAAGATTTTCATTATGCTCAACAAAAGTCTGAAAAGTTTTTCAAACGTATTTCCAGTATCAGAGACGAAATCGAAACAGAATTTGCGAAACCAAAGCAAAAACAAAAGTCTATGATAAAAGCAAATCCACCGCCAGTAAAAGAAAATGTTGCAACTGTGAAAAGAATGAACAAACGAATACAACTGGCAGAAGAAGAAGAGGTACAGTGGTTACAAAATGTTATGAAGTCTTGCAGGAATACTGTCAAAATTGATGAATTAACTGAACAAGACAGACAAGAAAGAGAAAGACAAAGATTATTAGATATAGAGAAAAAACATTTGATGGGTCAAATAAGCTATGAAGAAGCCGTACTTGCAAAAAAGAAAATGGTGGAAGATAATAAAAAGAAATATGAAGAGTTTTTAAAAGAAAAGGAAACTTGGAACGAAGAAATAGAACGTTGGAAAAAACATGAAATGGATAAAAACCGTAAACTAGCTGAAAAGCTTTCACTGGGTGAATTGAATTTAATTCAGACTAAAGGCGAAATTCTTATGAAGAAAAAGGAAATGGCAGAAAGAATTAAAAAGGAATCTGAGTTGATTTTAGCGCAAACCATCAAAGAAAAACAAGAGGAATTAGATCGCAGAATTACCATGATTAAGGAAATTAAAATATTGGCTGCTATTGCTAAGAAAGCAAGAGTACCTAAAGTAATTGATCTCACAGAAACAGCTAGACTTGGTTTGCTCTGTGAAATGTCTATAGCTGAACTGCAAGAAAGACTAAGCGCCATGAAAATGTCTTTAAAGGAGGAACTGGACAAGAAGAAGTCGCTTATTAAAGAGGAAAATAAAGCCGCTAAGCAAGAACTTGAAGAGACAAAGCAGTCTGTTAAGAATTACATTAGCGAGCGTGCAATGTTACGAAAATATAATAAAAAGTCGAACCTAACGATAGTTAGTAGTACTTCATCGAAGGAAATAAACGACTTGAAGAAGGTATTAGAGGAAAAACGAAAAATGCGTATAAAGTTGAGCATCTGATTATGTCAGTAATGTATTTATTGTAGTAGTGGCATAAATGATTAATTATCTTTATATCTTCTTATTATGTGACGTTGTTATAAAATAAAGAGATGGTTGCCCATACCTTTAGTTTTTTTGTCTACCGGTTTATGTGTATACAATTTGCTAATCCTACATCGGCAATCATATTAAATTCACAATGTGAATCCCAAAATATAATTACAAATGTCTAAACCTTTGTACGTTAATATCTACTGCTTTATAATGTGAAATTCTGTATCGACTACGAACTGTAAAATTGTCACCGATACAATGATATTATATTTCTACAGGATTTTCAAGATTATCAATAATATGGAGCTCTGAAGGTGGTTTCGTAATCAACAAAAGGCTTGATCGAGTGTTTCCATACAGACAGAGCTGAATGAAGATGTATAGGCTAAATTAGTGGATCGCACTGTTCATATTAACATTTAAGCTCGAGATGAAGTTGTCATGTTATAAATTTTCGCATATTCACAGAGCTATGAACATTAAGAATTACGTTCTTGCATTTGTGCAGCGTTTTATACTGCGTACCTTTGATATTTTCAATCGAAATGAATTCTATAATACTAGTTGTTATGATAATGTTATGAAATAAATAGGTTCAGCTGTGTCTTCTACCTATTAAACGGAACTACGGAACAACAACTTCTCGTCGTTTAGCCGTCCAAATAGTGGTGGAGTCGAATTTAAAGATTCTCAGCTAACTTTTGAGTCACGATTTATGACATTACATAAAATTAAAATCAATCTCATAATATTATTCATATCTAACACATGTTTACGTCTGTAGCCTAAAGAAGTATAGTAGCAAGACTAATGGTGTCTCCAGGCGGGGCCCGCTCGATGCGCACGCGTGAATTGGTTGCTGCACTTAATTAGTCCGCGCCGAACAGAAATATTAGTAATTGGAATTTATAGTGCAGATTTGACGCCTCGCTTGATAAACGACAGAGCAACGACTCCGACCCACTTCATATAAAATACTCCATAAACATAGTACTACTTGTAATATTGACACTAATGTTAATAGGTGTAAAATTTCCTAACGTACACAGGTGATAATCCGAGCTTATAATAATCCAATAACTCGAAGGTTTTTACATAACGTGGATCACGTGACGACATATTCGAATCGAAGAAACCTAGTCAATATAATTTGGATTAAGGCAATAAATAAGGCGGGTTCGCCCGTTCATTTGTATCAGCGTATAATTTAAATTCTTTAACGCCAATGTTCAAGATTACGCGGCGAGATAGAGGTGCGGGCGCCCGTGTCGCGGCGACAACCACCAAATAAATTTATATTTCCGACCGGCACCGGGCTCACTTCTCTCTTTGTAGATAATTCGGCCGGTAACGTTGAATGACTCTATTAACAGCTTCCCTTTTTGGGATAAATGTCGACTTTAGGTTGTGTCGTAGCGCAGTCTTATCTATAGTGTGGGATGCCCCGTGCTGTTCTAAACTAACAAGTTTATTGCTCGACTCGTATTATGTCTACTAAATCACGAGTAATTAATAATAAATTTAAATAATTATGTTTTAGACTGATCGCAATTTAAATCACATAGCTCTACAGCCAACATTTATCATTCAAGCAATGTAAGTAAATGCCTTGTTGATGAATTTTGACAACTAAAATGGTTAAATAAAAATATAAAAACCGATTAGAAATTCACACTTTCGAGATATAAAATCAGATAACACAGAGCAGAAAGAAAGTGTTTCGTTTGCACAAAAGTCAATAGGACTATAAATACGGCTTCTCATTTCAAGATTATCGAGATAACAGTAAAACGTCAATAACCACCTAATTGGGAGAGAACAGCCTGGCAGCCGGGCAGCCGGGCAGCCGGGCCCGTCCTTAGTGAGAAACAAATAAATATTGTAGCACGGTACGAGATAATTTGCCCGATAACTTAATGTGCTTACATTTCGAATCTGCTCATGATTTTATGGGAAACTATCACACCGTATATTTTTTATTCAATAGTGTCGGAAACTAATCATTAGGTGCCGGTTTTTTTATATCGTGTTTTTAGTCATAATACGTGTGAACAAGTAAATAGTGCATACCGATCGTCCTACGCGAATCGATATACATAATCGTTAGTATCACTCGTTTATATGCTAATCACATTTCAAATCGATTATCATTATATTTTAGTGTATCGATCATCGAAGACTCGTATGACTAATTAAAATTAATTTATGTTGTACTCGGAGTGAGTGGTTTGTCGCTCAACTATTTATATCTATTTCCCTTTAATCTTTTAATTTGAATTGCCTACATTTTATGTTCACGCCGGTTTGTTTGCATTTAATTTAAATATATCCATAAGTTTCAATTTGAGTATATTTTTTAATGACTTAACTTTCAAATGAGATACAGGATTGCCCTTTGGGTACGCTTTATTATTTGAGGTTTAGATTGGTGTAACTTAGATAAGCTAAGTTAAGATATTTAAATAATAATAATTAATTTTATCAATCAAGGATCTTAATTTGGTCACCTCACTTGATGGTGCCTTAGTTTAATTTCACCCCACACTAATCAATATCAATTCAGTACTGATTTAACGATAAAATTCCTTATACGATTTTATTAAGCGAGATGCACCGATACGCTCCTGCAGTTGAGTGCAAACTAATTTTGCGTGTCAACCCAAAATCCTCAACGCTCCTTATGGGGGACATAACTGCCTCCGATGTGGCTCAACACCGAGTGGGGATATTAAAGAATTTATGTTATGATTGCTCAGTCAATTTGCATAAAAATAATATGGGAATTTTATGTGCGAATGATGTCATATCCTCCGGTGTTTTGTTAAGAAATGTGTGAAAAAAATTAACATGCATAAATGTTGTTTTTGTAAGTTAACGCGATTATATATTGAATGAGTTTATTTTTTTCGAAAGTGTTGATTGGATTGAGTAAAAAATAATGATAAAGGCATTAATGAGTTAACACTTTTATATTAAACCAAACAAAAAGTTCTTTTAATTTTCTCTGAGTTAATACATGTCGATAAGATATATCTACTTATAAAATAAATAAATATCTATTACTAGTATAAAGCTATCAAATTATTTTGATGATTTATTATTAAAATAAGACTTGGCTACTAATTTATTCAAATCCATCACTCACAAACAGATACATACAAATCACTACAAATTAATTGGGTATTATAAGTCTAATAAGGAGATAATGATCATTATGGTAGTCTAACTCTAACCTATAATCATAGCCTGTTTGGTGTGACGTCATAAAATAGACTAATATATCTATGTCTATAGAAATAGCCACAACTATGTATGACGGAGCATTACTCCAAGACATATTTTTTTAGTTTTTTTATTTTCTTTGACTTTGTTCTTTTTTTTATAATCATTCGTATTACAATATTGTATGATCTTTATTGTTAACACCGGAATCAGATCTTGTCGCGTTTATTTATTAAATGATGTTTTTCAGACCCTTCTCCGATTTGGTTTTGAAAATGTAACGTTTCGTGGAAACACTCGAAAGATTTTTTGAATTTAGTCTTACAATTTTCGGATTGGTTTTCAATTCAAAGTTAAATTCAAATAGATTAAATTTGATAAAGAATATAGTATAATATCACTATGCAATAATGTCTGTAACTTTCATAACTTAACTTTAATTTCCGATTAGAAAATAACTTTAATCAAAATCCTATCTCTTTAGCTCCTAGTATTAAAATATGACAATAACACGGATAATATAATGAAATAGACATAAAGTACAATAAATATATGATGTTATAATCCCGGGTCATATCTCTGTATTAGCACTTTTTACGTGTTAAAGTATTGTGGAGATAGCGCTGTTCACACCACGCTCTTAATCTGTGCCCCATGTGACAGGAGCACGGCACACGGGACGCGTATTCAGACATACTGCCTGTTGAAACGGTGCAGGATTGTATTGGTATTATTTTTATACGTTTTTGATAGGTTTTGAAGTTTTCCTGGTATCGTGGTTATAAAATGTGCTTTGGCAGTGTAGGTTGGTAGAATTTTATTCATTTTATCTTGAAATACTTTTTGTGCTAGCTTAATCTGACTTATGATTCAAACGCTACGAGCACCAAAGATTTTTTTGCTAAAGTTAATTTTGAAATTATTTTATCAAAACATCAAACAAATAATTATTATGTACCATATTTTAGTGTTGTGACATCTAGGTAATATTTATTCTCATCAATGATAAATGTTGATAAATAAATCTTGAGAAAATATACTAGTTTGTAGAGCATAGTGTGTAGTGACGCGGGCTGTGCGCTCGGCGCTTCAAACGACGGACAAAATTTATTGTTATTGGTGCGGGCGCGTACATGCATCCTCACTCCGCGCCTATCACGCGTTACAACTTTATCGAAGCACCTCACTATTCCGAATAAACGTAACGTCTTTATTCCACATACAACTGATTTTTATAACACACATAAATTTTACTATTTTGATTTGTTTGACTCATTTCTGATGATAAAGTTTATGGTGATTTATTAAAAAATATTAATTTGATATTAAATGCCGTGTCATAAAATTACTGTGACGATTATTAAATCGATATCATTGAACTCATATTTTAATTATTTATTTGCAAACTCAATCAGGAACACTATTATTATGTAGTTCTTATTAGCATTTTACTCATTAAAACCAATATTTCTATGAAACATAATACTTTTGATACCTGTTCGAAAATAAAAACTCATTTTTGACCCACTATAAAATAATCTAATTTGCTTAGGCACCAGAATAGGACCGCTCGTGCTCTCATGCTGCGCTATAAAGTTTCTGCGCCATCGCCAATTTGTTAATGATACTACATCTACATAATATGCACATTTACTCGCAAACTACGTATACAATATAAATATAAGATATTATTTGTACATTTGTGTCTACTGTCCACTTCATGATTAGGACTAGTGAACATTTTAAGCTCTAATAATGTCTGTTCTCAACGTATAGTACTTTTACGTCGTCTATTTACTTACTTACCAATTACGCCCACCTTTATACCTTCTTTATAATCTATTTTATTTTTCTCTCTTCAATTCCTTTATGAATCATCATCTATTTTGTAACAGTAGCTACTCAGACTTTTTAAGAAGGTGTAACCTCACACTCCTGGGTTTACAAACATACAATAAGTATTCTGTTGTCGAAGGACCCCTTCGACATAAGTAACGTGAACCTGATCAATTAACTAAAAGCGTTATAATTGCTATAGTCTTCCTCGTCATCACAATCTACTACAAGACATCACAACAAAGGCTTTCAATTACTTTCAGATCGATTAATTGAAAGCGATCTACCTTCATGCAGTCGTGTTAAAACATAATACCCCATGGCAACCATCTCTACCTAGTCATGATTGTCTTTCTAGTTTATTTTGCTACGAAATTCAAATCAATTAAATCAACTTTATTGAAAGTTTTTAATCCAGGATAAGATTAATTGATGTACAGGTAGGTAGGAATGTGATACCCACTGTCGAACAACCATTGTTACTGAAGCCAAGTTTTTCTGTAACTCCGATCAGCTTTCACCATCGTGATTGTCGATATCCGGGAAGAAGTGAATCGGTTTAATAACAATGTGGAAAAAAGGGGATAATTGTCGCCAGTACTGGCAAAGGGAGAATTACGACTCTATCGTTCGTAAACTTAATAACCGAACGCCGGATTTATACTTTTTCCCCTTAAAATTATCTTTTTCATGGCCTTTGTTAAGGATATCTTAATAATTATGTGATTATGGATCGTTTTATTTGCCCAACTTTCTTTCATAATAACAGGAATATCATAATCTCTGATTATTGTCTTATTTGGTCTAGGAATGGAATGAATTGAATCTACCTTTTTGCCTAACTTTGATCTACAAGTGTTCCTTTCAAGATTTCATTTTCAGACTGGATTATATTCATATACTTAATTTGTGATTGAAATCACTACATAGTATAAAACAAAGTCACTATCCGCCGTCTGTCTGTCCCTATGTATGCTTTAAAATCTTTAAAACTACGTAACGGATTTTGATACGGTTTTTTTAATAGATAGAGTTATTCTTAAAGCCATTAAAAAACTGTTGAAGGCAAATCCTCCGCTAACGTCAGTCACCGGTGACCTCCATGGCGTTTAATGTGTTAAGGAAGGTTTATATGTATCATATATGCATATTGCACCCGTGCGAAGCCGGGCTGTCGGACGCTAGTTAAAATTAAATCAACCCAAAAGAATCTCTGTGAAGCTCCAAAAAGCTTGCTGTCATTCAATTTATGTTGAATATTATTCAAATACTAATTATGCGAACTAAACTTCAGAAATAATGTAATATAAATTGAAATTTTATAAAGGTCTGATTGTATAAGAAATCTCAGCAGATTGATAGTATGTAGGTAGATATTACACTAAACAAAGATTTTCTTAGGAAAGTTGATTCTTTTCGCATCATGCTCACCTGAACATGAATTTATTTATATACATGTAACAAGTTGTTGTTTTTTTATGGGAAAGTAAAACAAAATGATTAATTGAATGATTTATTTTTATATTTTTGTAATATTTAGGTACGTATGTAAACTGTCTCCTATATTTTACAATAATTATTAATTTTCTAAGCAATAAATAGTATACAACGCTCATTGATTGTAACAATATTTACAAAAATAACTACTTAAGTACAACTTGGGACGATGGAATGCAGAGCGCCCAATTAACGAATTCTATAAATAGTGCCGAAATTATAAACTTTAGTGACCTTATTGAGTGTCTAACAAATACTTTTCAAATGTTTGTAATCATCTAAAATTGGTGTAAATATGTCTAAATTTTGTATTTCTCTGTAGATATGAATCACGTTAGGAACTTTTTTTCTCCTGAAACCACTTTTTACCATTGATTAATAATACTTTGGTATACTCTCTCGAAGTATCACAATATCTAAGTACAAACCAGTTAGGGTCCTTGTCTATTACAAATATGTGTTGCGCCAGGGTCCACTGACCAACTTCAGTCGCGATTGTCTAACTTTATTTACAACTATACACCTTTACCATAACTGCCTCCTTTGAAATCGAATTTATTATTTGCCTTGTGTACCCCACAACATAACAGTTCAACAAATCACCATCTACTCGCCTATTTACCTACTAAAAGGGAGTTTGTGCATCGTTATAATTAATCATGTCTTCCTTACACTAATTAACAACTCCAATATCTACATAGGTATTTACATTAATTTACAAACTAACTGGAGTATTAGCACTCTAGAATCTTAATTTACATAATTATTCGGAACATGGACATTCGATAGGAATGATAATTGTAATACTTTATGTAGGTAAAATGTAAATAAATTAATTATAATGACTGTATCAACGATCGTGTTTAGTGAGTTGTAGTGGTAGGTCGCTGGAGGTGGGTCGCTGCCGGCACGGGCTCGGCGAGCGCGACCTCCTCGTCGTGCGCTCCTCGTTGTCACTCTCGTCGTGCACGTTGATCTCCTCGTCCGAGTCCGAATGAGATTCGTATCCACGAGCTAACTGGATCGACTGTGCCGCTAACAATGCTGCAGCTGCTGAATGTGGTACTAGTGATTTAAATGCGCTATTCTCTAACGCAGGGTGTGGTTTAAAAGCGCTTCCATCAAACGCTGTCTGCTGTGAAAGTGCTTTCAGTGCGTTTGCATCGAATTGTTGATGCGCAAAAGCCTTCAGGGCGTTGGTGTCTTGGTGCGAAAGTGATTTGAATGCGCTATTTTCTCCGCCCATTTGCGGGGTGTGATAAGAGACGCGCGTGGGAGAGAGGGAGCGAGAACGGGAGCGGGAGCGGGAGGGGGAGTGGGGGAGGCGGTGCGGGGGCGAGCCGCCACCGCGCTTCAGGAGATTCATGCGCTGATGGCGTCTCCACTTGGCTCGTCTGTTGGAAAACCAAACCTGTCAGTAACGGTAAATAAAAATGATTAGTATTCTGTCATCAAAGTTAACAAATTCAAATTAATGCAAATTGAAAAAGTGGGGTCTTTTATTGACATCTTTGGAGATTTTATTTGATATGGATCTGTATAATTATGCAAAAGGTCAAGTAATTTGAGCTAGTTACCTGAACTCGTGCTTCTGATAATGATGTTTTAGACGCTAGTCTTTCTCGTGTAGAGACGCAAGGATAATGAGATTTTTCAAATTCCTTCTCTAGTTCTTCAAGTTGGTCTTGGCTAAATGTCGTGCGGTTTCTTCTGAACTTCGGTTGTTCTCCGTCTAATGAGCCAGAGTCGTCACCATCTACATCTGTTTGGAAAAAAAAGAAGAAATATTAATAAAACTCTCATTTAAGAACCTTAAAATTTACTGCAAAGATAACAAAACCTAAAAAATATTTCTACCTATTAATCCTCGTCCGGAAGATAGGAATCCTTGATTAACATCAGGGTGTGGTACTCCTGATGGTGGACCCGGTACTCCAGGAGGTAAGGGTAGTGAGCCAGGAGGCCAGACTCCTCCACCACCTCCCCAAGGAAATGCCCCATAAGGAGGGGGAGCGGCATAGAGCCCATAGCCTGCAGCCCTCGCAAACTCTGCAGCAGCTCGTTCCGCAGCCCTGTTCCTTAGTATCCTGTTAATTGATGATACGCTGGGGGCAGTAGCGTTTGTACAGACTCCTGTGGACAAAAAAAAAGAATAACAAGGTTAATTAGATTGGCTGGATTCCATAAAGAATAATAACTCTTATAAATAAAAAAATAATATGTAATTATTATAAGTTTACAAGCTCACATATAAATAACCAAAATCAGGAATAGTGCCCAGAAATCGTCATTACAACAACATAACCAGTGAATGTTGTTTTTCAAGTTGAGTAACCGCGATGGTTATACTCAGTGAGCTGTATTTAGTGTTAATGCACACCTTGCTAGAAACATTTCGCTTTAAGCACGAATATAGTAATTATGTAGAGCAGTTTTGAAACACGGTGTCTCTTAGAACGCAACACAAATGTGCATAAAATTATAGTCGCGCGTTAAAACCGATGCGTCATTGGTCGCGTTTTAAAATCGCCTGCACTTATAACATTAAGCAACACAATCAGCTTATGCTACACCATGATTATTGTAATTATTCCACGAGTTAGTTGTGACTTGGAAAATTATAGAAACGTAGTTGTCATGTTCCCTTTTTTGTTACATTTGTTTTGGTCTTTCTAAGCATCCTGGTGTCGGAAAACCAATTATCTTTTTCTGTCTGGAAGATTAGAGTTACATAAAACTTAACAATAAGTGTGTGTGCCTAACTGAACTGTATAATTGTTTACTCTTTGAGCAGTCACTCCTGATAATAACAATCCTACGAAAAATCCTTAGCTATTTCTCAAACAATTCACATTAAATCGTCCATAAGCACATGGAGAACATTATATCAATGCTCGATAATTTATACTTGGACAGTAACGCCATAATGATCCCCTACACACTACATGAGCTTGGGTGAATTGTTGGTAATCATCAAATGATTGACGTACGAGCTGATCGTCGTTCTTAAGAATCATACAACGTGATCGATATTTATAATACATATCAATGACAATGATGTGTACCTATTGATGTTTAGAGTATAATTATCATCATTGGAATTTTGAAGAGGCAGCGTCATCATCAGTCAGAAGACGTCTGTCACTAAACATAGGCCTCCTCTAAAGTTTTAAAAAGTAACTCAAAGAAATTAAACAAAAATGTATTTTTGACTGATTGCTTGATTTGCATGATATGATTTAAGGCTCAAAGCCGAGCTCTGAACGTGTCGTAACGTAAACTAAATGTGCGCGCGAGTTAACTGCGTGCCTCGATCGCGTGCCGGTGCAGCCTTGGAGAGCCATCCCATGTAATTTTCAGGAAACACTCGAAGTAAGTGCCATAATTTAATCATAGCCTGTCCGAGTGTAATTGTCGTAGGATTCGTTGTTGAGCTACCGAGCAAGCCACTGAACTGTTATGTTTTAAATAACTTTACTTTTGATTGCTCTTTTATTCTTCATTCATGAATACAGGTTTGAGTTCGTGTGTGAATGTAATGTGCTGTAAAGTAATACACTGAAATATTTAGTAGGTATGCACATATTGCCTTCTTTCAAGAATAATTAAGTTATTTGGAAAGATAACACATTTTTACATTCTTTTAATAGATAACGATTTATTCATAGGTCAATTAATTCAAGATAATCTTGTTTTTATAATAATAAAATCTGAAAAACATCCTAATTTTTAAACACTGTAAGAATTTTCTACCTAGACAACCCATACTTATGATATAAAGGAGTCCTATTACATCATGATAATATTTCCAATACCAAATTAAGAAAATTAATCAGACATAAAGACAAGAAAGTGTGAAAGGGTTGATAGTTTTCTACCTATAAATCAACACTAATTTCTAAAGTACACAAATTGGACATAATAACTGAAGCCACAATAACGACTAGATGTCTCCATTTATTAGCTGGCCTTAAATTAGCTAAACGATAGCGTTCCGCCATCCTGCTAATTACAGGCTTAATAATGTAAACAGGACAAGGCATAAATATCGAGGAATAGAACTTCAACAGAACCATAGCAGCCCGAGTAAACACTACAAGGAAGCTAAAACAATTATTGTTTTGTCATTAACTACATATTGCAATCGACATAACGACCTACTTGTGTTATTAACGGCAGCAATCCCAAACAATTTTCATAACTAATAACTACAACAACTGCTTGTTCAGACTCTGCATGAATTACTCGCACTTTATCGTACGTACCAATGTTCAAAGGCAATTTGTCTGCATTTACGTAGAATAGATCCATTTAATGCAAGCCAGTCATTTAAGCAGGTTGTAACTTAAGACAATTATATCCAGGAACAATAATTGAACCTAATTGCTTAATGATTGTTGTGCACGTGACCGGATAAAGAGACATTTTCTATAATATACGACCTGCAATAGAAAATTACGCAATCGTGTTTAAAAATATGCCACCCTGTCAATTGTTTGTAATAAGGAAACGGTTTGATATACCTCACAGCATGTATAATAATTATTATAATAACGCTTGAGACTATTGCGATTCATGAAGATGGATTTAAAGGCGGTCACCGTTGATAATGAAGCGCTATTGTGAGGCGGGACGGCGCGCTTCGGCGCAACCACCGCTTGACGTATCAAATAAAACACAAAACGTACCTGTTATAATTTACTCAAAACACAAAGCCTTATACAGTATAATGGTAATGATCAGTTGCGCGGCTTCGTTCATTGTTAGCACGTCGAAAAGTATAAAAAGGTGCCCTCTACACAATTTGTTTGGTTCGTAATCGGTGCGTTGAGACGAAGGCTCGATAGAACCGCCTTCTGTGCCGCTGGACGTCAAAAGTCAAAAGCTTGATAGCTGAGAACACTACAATGGTGACTAGTCATCACTTACCAGTCAAGATCTCTAATTACAATGGGAGCAGACGTTTTTCAAAAATAAAACAACCCGTTGAAAATCTCTTAACGTTTTGTGGGAGCTCAGCGACGCGTCGCCGCTACTTAATCTACTTCGTCTTCTATTCTTTTAAATAACAAAAAACTTCAATGATCTTTAACTGAACAGTTAAATTGGTTTTTGTCTAGTAACAAGCACGTAGCCTATCGATAGTTTCGATCGACAACGTTCTACACAGGCGTGTTTTCAATTTGGATAAGACGATAATTTTATTATGAAAAAAATCACCATTAAACGCGTTACTGTCAATGATCTGATAACATGTTATTTCATCAGTGTACACCATGCGAAATGATTGAGTTTTCTGCAGCTGATTGCATTATAATGAGTGTACTGTGTAGTATCATAATATATAATTTTACCGAACTTTACAGACAATGAGCACCGATCAGTGACCATAGTGGTAGTATTTGTTTAGAGGTAGATCATTATCCATCAACAGGTTGCAGGTGGGAATGCGATATCTATAATTGTTCTTTTAATGATTTGGGATCGGGCCCGGATCCTACATGCTTAGTCACGGTCATGCAATTTGTCTAAAGTCGTTTAATCATGATTAGTCACAATAGGGTCCGCTTCTATTAAAAGGTTAGATGTCTACAACATAAAGAGCATCTTATACATCAGTACGCAGGGGCTGTCGGTAACGGCACAATTAAAAGCGATAGAGTTTTTTCTTATCCCATCATTATACGGCGGAAAGCGATTAATTATCGAATTAACAACATTTATACGTGCGCGCTTTACGAAAGCGGTTGCATTACAATTTGCTCAAGATAATAGGTGTTGAGTGTTGATACATAACAATTATTTTATATAAGCTCTTAATTGCTGCGTGCCTCTTGAATGAAGGCATAAATTGAAATATGCAGCGTTAAACATGAAGCCAGTGATTTAGATTCCCGTGGCATCCTAATAAAAAGCAAATTGCTTTAAAAATCTTAATGTTTCTGCGTCCGAGTGTTGTTAGTTGGTACCTGCCTAAAAGCGTGGCATGTCCAAAGATAAGGCACTCCGGCGCCGTCTGGCTATAGACTGTTTAATCGGGTTAATTTATCGATAATTGACGGAAAACCTTTTTGTTTGTAATGCCGGGAAGTAACAGTAATTGTCACGCCTTTGAAGATTTACGCTCGTTTCTAAATTGAGACATTAACAGTCGGATCTCGTGCCTAATGGTTTGGAATGAATTTGTTTGTTTGTTTTACTTATACCGGTTCTTCGATACGTTCGGCTGGTAACGCGGCGGATGTCGGATTCTATCGAACCACGCTAATTAGCTTTAGACAATATTTCAAATGTCTACGGCAATTAATTAGCTTGACGTTTATTTGGCGAAATTGTTTGTCTAACTAGTATTGAACACGAATTCCGATATAATTTAGTGGTAGTCGATGGTGGAATATTATTCGAGAATGATGATTAAATTCCAAATAGACTTTGATAAACTGAGGTTGTACCTATTCACTTGATTAGGTGTTTGATCTCAATCTGGGAGACATTATCAATAATCATTTTATACAAATTTTCTTATCATTGCAACTTTAATTACTTACAGACTAAATAATTCACTGCAGAACCTTATTATCAACAGACAACTAGAATACACACTTAGGTATAATACTAATATTAGATATTGACTGTGTTATTGATATTTATTATATATATGAAACTTATCTCCAACAAGAAGTCTTGAAATGTGCTCTTTGAAGAAAAAAAAGCAACCCAGGTTACACTATGTTCATTAAATTGAACAGGAAAAAACTACTGGAAATTATACCAAATAAAATTAAATAATATTGGATAAATAGATATTTTAGTGCTTTCATTTATATTCAGGTAGATTACATACTATAAATCTTGTAAAATAGTCTGCCTTTTATATATTTAATTAATTAATAACCGTGTCGTAAGTCTAATCAGACCTGTAGGCGCCTAGTTTGTCGTTTATTAAGTAGTTAATTATAAGTTCTTTTGAACTCACCGTTTCTCAACAGAAAAGTTTTCCATCAAAGCTCAAATTCTAATTTGAAGACGATTAGACGCTTCCTTCAGTGCTGTCGCTTCAAAATAAAAATCACGTCCTCATTGGACGTCTAGAACCAGTTAACGAATGAGTGGCGTCACGTCGTCTAAATGAA